TGAAAATTCTCTGTTCAGTTAACAACACTTTTCACTGTATGTGTTTCCAGTGGCATTCCTCTGGGAAAAGCGTGCAAGGTGAATAAGCATAGCGGACAACAGCGCTTTTGTGCAGAAGAAAAGTTAATGTCTGCTGGAAGGAGAGGTGTGGGGGTGGAGGGGAATGCCTGTGGTTCTGATGTCCAGCTCAGAGCTTCAGTGAATGCCTTGCCCATCTTCTGTTGCGTGGATGCTCTTATCCCTGAACTCACGGGTTGTACAGATTTCTTCTCCTGTGACAGAAGAGTGAAGACAGCAAATTCGGTGCCTGAGACTTGTTGCCTGTAAAAGAATGGGAAGGGAAGGGGGGGCTTTTTGACTAGATCATCTCTGCCTAGAAAAATAGAATCTTTAACAGAGTTGTAAGTAGATTCTGACACAAATTTAGCCCTACAGAGAAGTCCTTGAGAAAGCAAGAGAGTAAGAATTAGCCTTTAGTGGCCTTAGGCACCGAGAAAAGTTATTCAACGTTTAACATGCTTGTCATATTGCTGAAAATCTTGCGCAAGTCAACTGATCTGATGGCAATTGTAATAGATGAAAGAAGTCCTTGAGAAATGCTGATTTTTGAAATACATTTTAGAAGTCAACGAGACACACTTTTGTGCAGATTTTCTGCACAAGTGTTCTGGCTGGAGTGGAATGGATGATGACAATCAGTGCAGACTACACAGGGGCATGGCAAGCAGACCAAAGTATCTGGCGGAGGATGAGAGATAAGGAGAAAGTCTGTGAATACACTTCAATAACAAGCAGTGTCTGTCCTTTTAACCGCTCTGGTGAAGCGAGGAGGTACGAATCGTAATTCTTTCACTACTGACGCAGAGCAGGGAAACTTACTATCTTCTTTTAGAGAAGTTAGTCCGGCGCTTACTATTACTATTTCTGAGACAATGTGAAAGAGATGGAAATAAATATTTATTAAAAGTAATAGACCATGGGCTAGTAAATAGAAAGTTATGACCAAAGGCCCTGAATATATCACCAAGGCACAACCGTTTTTTGAGTCTGCAGCCAGTTTGGCAACTGCGAGGTGTTGCCGCCCTCTTGCACGTCAGCCCTCCTGCATTGCTTCTCCCTCTCCTGCTCTGCACTCGCACTCTGTTGCTGTTCTTCCCTCCATCTCCATGCCGGTGCTGGAGCACAGCTGCTCTAGGAATTACTCCTGTCTTCTCTTCCATGTGCTGAGTTAATGCCAGGAAGGATCCGGTGCGCTCGTACGGATCCTCTTGAGTGTTAAAATCCCATGCATTGCTATCTGTGCCATCTTTTTTCCTCTGCTGTATCTTCTTTCCTCCTTCCTCTGTCTTGATTTTTATCCCCAACAGACATGAAAGCCTTTTTCCTAAACCTTTTGTCTAGCTGCTGCTCTCTCATTATCTTTTCCGTCAGTTGGAGTTCCTTGAGAGATGTTGCACACCCACTGCGTTTGCTTCTTTCCCTCCTGCTGCCACACGCTCCTCCTTTTCCCTCTCCGCAGTCAGCCTGTTGGCCATGTCCTCTTTTTTTTTCTTCTTGACTGAAATGTAGTGATGACCTTCACTGTTGTTCTTCACTATGGAGGACTGACCTGCCAGAAGGACTGAAAAATCGCTCTTTGCTTGACTGTGCTATAGCTGTTCATGTTTGCGATGTCCTTGTGTTCATTTGTCTGAAGGTGCTGCAGCAAAATGTTTGTTCTTCTCATGTAGGATATACATAAAACAGTGGGGTTTTTTCGTCTTTTTCTAGTGGTTGGGATTTAGGAGAGCTGGTTGGTTTGGAGGGAGATGAAGGAGAAATCTGTAAATAACCAGAATTGAAGGCTAGCTTTGTGAGAGCGCGGACATAAGCAAGGCTGCAGGCGGAACTCTGGCTGGGAGGCGGGCAGTGCCTTTGCCTCAGTGTTTTCAGCAGCTTTGGGGCATGTCGGGTGCCACTAAGCTGAACACTAAAGAAAGTCTTTTTTGTTCCTGAGGTACAAAGGAAAACACTTAGAGGATTATCAACAGTCGCTGCTTCAGCCTGGGAAGGAGCTGCCTTGGATCCCCTGCTAACCTGTGAGCCTGAATTCACGCAGATATCTGCTAGTGTACCCTTAGCCTATGAACTGCACATCCTCCACACCTGCACACCTTGAGACAAGACTTCCCAGTGTGGTATGAGTGCGGGTATGAACAGCTTCTGAACTGAGAAAAAAAGATGAAGTTTATATTGAACTGTTTGGAGGCTGAGTTTTGGGTAAAGATCTGAGCAAGGACTTTTACTGGGAGTGTGATGGGAGCTCTGTCACCTCTCACCGAGCATAAGTACCTTATGAAAGCTGAGAGGACAGAAATATTTTAAAGGGCAGGAAACAACTTTGGCATTACTCTGGTGTTAGCGCCTTATAAACAGCACGTTTAAAAACACTGCTGCTAAATGGAGCCTGCCCTAAACATGGTTTGGAATGAGTTCAGGCTTTTGAATGTTGAACATGAGTGTAGGTTTGTGCTGCTTTATTGCCTGCCTACTGTAAAAGAAACCCGTGTAGTCGCAGGTGAATGTCTCTCCTCGAACTGAAGATCACTTTTTCCTCTCATTTCCTCTAAATGATGCTCCGTTTCACCAGGATGCAAAGTGAAGATCACTTAAACAACAGTGAGTGTAAAAGAGAAATCCAAAATTGTAATAACGTGGGTAAAATTGGGTATAAAATATTGCTCTCTTGGCCTTGAACAGACATACTTTGAAGCAGGAATAAGGCATTTTCTGTAATGTGTTCCAGGCCCAAAAGGAGATCTCTGGGAATAATGAAATTCCATGCTTGTGTAAAATTTGGATTAGCATGTTCCCCCTCCTGTCCCAGCCCCCACCCTCCCCCAGCTATTGCTTTTGGCCCTTGTGTCCATGCAATTAAAAGAAAAAGCTTTTGAAAGTGATCTTTGGGTGAAAGTGAGCTATGTATTGCAGAAGTGTCACAAGGCAAGCCAGCTGGCCTGCAGGAACCCAGGAAGGCAGGAGAGCACGGAAGAGAAAGTTGCAGGCAGAGAAAGCAAGATGCTCTCGTGGGCATCTTTGTGAGCTCCTGGGGAGTGTGTTACATGAAACTGTCTGTTAGATTTCTCTTCCTTAATATAACCCTTCGTGAACCTCCCCTGTTCTTCCTTGCAAGCACAAGTAATTCAGAACCCGGGCACCACAGGGACTTGAGGAGTCTCCACGTCGCTTCTGTAAGCATCGGTGTGTGTCACCCTCTTGAGTGTTGCAAAGGCTTCCCCCGTGCTGGCCAGATATTCCTGCTCCCTTGCAGCTTACTAAGAACTCCCTTCTTCTCAAAGGCTGCAGAGCAATGCATGGCACTGCCTGGCTTCACTAGACCTCTTCTGCTCTGGGCTGCACCGGGAAATACTACGCTTGCATGGCTGGAGGAGAAAAAAGGAGGCCGGCGAGGTTTCAATGGCCAGAGGTGTTGTTGAACGGTTGGGTGGGGCCAGACAAACGCCACTGTTTCATCTGTTGGGTAGTGTTGCCCTCCTCTGATCTATGCACAGATCTCAAGTTTTGGACATGGAGAATTTGTGGTTCGATGGTCACAGAGGCATCTCAGCGTGCACAGCAAGACTGCATGGCTCCCACCAGCTGGGTTAAACAAGGCCTTCTGGACGTCTGTTAAATGCCAGGAAGACTGATACTCTCCTGGCAGTGCAGAAATCAGAAGTTACAAGCTTCCAGAAGATTGCACTGGGTTAAAGATTAGGTCACTTGTATATGTGAATGCAGCGTGGGTGCGGCAGAGCGGGTGGCGTGTACAACCGCAGACCGACTGGAGCCTTCTTCTCCAGCTGAGTGCTTATGCTTGGAACTGTACTTAGGTTTTCTCAGCCTAACTCCATTCTCTGGGTCCTGATGGGTCCTTATGCCCTGACGCAGTGCCTGCCCCTGCGCAGCCTGGGCCTGGCAGCTCAGCTGAGACAGGGTGCTCTCCGCAGCTGTGCTACAAGAAGACACTCGCACACCTGTAACATTTCTAACATGCTTTACTGAACTTGTGATTATAAAGGTTATCTATAATAAAGCAATTAAATAAACAATAAGTTAAAACACAATACAGGTATACGTAGTATTTCAACAGGCTCAAATGACTATCAGGTTCCAACACACTAAGACTTTAAAACAACATTAATATTCAAAGTGTATCCTCACCTATACTTCTCATTGTGACAAGTTTCAAGAGTCCCAACAACGTATGTTTTTGGTTACAGTCCCCATATATGCACAAGACCAGTGAAATGCTCAAGCAATTGTACGATTGAGAAGAGCGCTACAGAAGACAGGCACAGACGATGTGCTGGAAGCTGCCTGGGGAATACGGGTTTCACCTCTAAACTGAATCGATGCTTCAGACAACAAATGGAAAGTGCTAGCATGCTTTCTGGAGCAGATGTGGGAACAAGTCTCCATGTCACCTACTTAACACTGTAGTTTCACAAATGTTCTAGGGTTCGTGCTGCCTAAAGAAATGCTCCACCTTGCTCTGGCTGTTTGCTCCCATGAGGGTCTCGCACGACCCTTGAGCCAGTGAAAAGCACATCTGCTCAGTGAAGCAGCACGGGAAATTGAGCTAATTCAGCAAACAAATGCAGAAGAGTGCTAGCTGTAATTCTGCTTCATTTCCCTGGTCATGCTCACCATGCAGATGCGCTGGCAGCAGAAAGACACCAGCATGGGGGACGGACACAGTGCCTGGGAGCAGGAGGACTATTTCCGTAGGCAGCAGTACTGTTAAAAACACCAGTTAAAAACATCTTGTGCAACTACAGGGTTCAGCTTTTTCATTTTGAAACAAAGAACATGTTTTCAAGCCAACTTACAGTGCAAATCAAACAGTCAAAAGCCAAATCGTGGCCTCTGTCACAATATTCAATAACTTTTTATGACCTATCTATCTCACCCCTCTTTCTCAGTGCTGAGGCCAGTTGGGGCCCGGCACAGAGTGGACTTTAAGTTTTGACATTGAAGGGCGTATGGCGTAAAGAGTGCAGGGCTACCAGGCAGCAACCACGAAGCAATGCTCCAATATTGTAAATAGGATCTATTCCTCCTCTCTGGAAACCCCACAGGACAGTGGGTACAACGGGGGCAGCTACAGCCAGAACATCTCTGAGGAGACTGCTGCTCCAATATCTCCTCTTTCTTCCTGCCTCAGAGCAAGTATTGACATATCCAAAGGCTTCATCATCATGAGGGTCTGTAAAATCAAGTTCTTTCATGAAATAGTTTTCACCAACTCTGTGCTCCACCTTCCTGCATGGAGACTCCACAGGAGACAAAAGGATGGCAGAGTTTGGATCACTTGGAGTTAAATCCATTATGATGCCAGAATCATTGAAGCTTCCAAGACAAAATTCACCCATTTCCTTCAGTGAAGAAGGTGGGCTTAGAGGACAGGCATCCCGAGCTCTGAAGATGTTCTGAATGAGCTGCTCCACATCTAGGCTATATGGCACCACGTCAGTCTGGACAGCCTGTTCCACCATCACATTGCTGCTTTTCTCCTCCTCCCGGGAAGAAGTCAGTTTTTCATCTGCAACACTGTCGAGCATCTCTTTCTTCACAGCAGAACTGGAGGGAGCGGGATCACTCCACTCAGAAGCTGCAGTGCTCAAACTCTCTTCAGCTGAATCAGTCCCATTAGGCATGTCCTCACTAAGAAGCAGCCTGCTATCTGCCACCTCCTCCAGAGCTTGGTCCCCTGCCATGAGACTGCCTGGCATCATGGCACACAATGCTGATGGCTTCCCCTCTGCGTCACAGCTGTACTGCAGGCACTGCTCGTCCATCGCAGAGCTGTTCTGAGCCATTTCCATGCTCTGCAGCAAAGATTCCAGTTTCTTATTTTCAATGCTGATGTCTAAGAAGTATTTCTGAATTTTTTGGTCTTTCTCAACAGCATTGTTTTTCATGGCTTCAATAACCTGCTCGAGCTGTTTAATTTTGCTTCTTGCTTCGTTTAAGGCCAGATCCCCCTCCACATGCTTACACTGTTCTTCAATCCAGTCTTCCTTCGTGCGTCCCAGCTGAGCTTTGAGCTCTGCTATTTCTATTTCCCTGTAGCAAAAGAAAAACGGTGTAACAGCTCTGCTGGGTGGTCAGTTCAAGAGACAACATGAGGCTCCAGCGCACTGGGGGTGGCTGCGCTGCAGAGACTCTCCAGGAAGGAAGCAGATTCCTTCCAAGGCTTGCAAGCGAGTGGGGAGAGATCTCTGTGTGAGATCCAGCCCTCGCTGATGCAGAGGTCGGGCTATCCCGAACTGGACCGCAGGGTCCCTGGGACTCTGCCTTGGGGCTCCGTTCAGACCCCGCTGTGTGCCCGCTTGGGTTGTGTGTGCGGAGAGCCGGCTCTCAGGAGGGCGCGGTTTTAGTAGAAAAGACGACATCTGTTGCTGTGTAATGCACATTGTCACTTCTTTGCTCAGCGTCCATACAAAGGGCTGCTGAGAAAACTTCAATATTGAAGCGACAAAAACACAGACGGGCACGCTGGTCTGTGTAAGAGCTTTTCTTTCTTTAGGGGAGAAGGGGGACATTTGGAGTCCTGTTTCGCGGAGTGAGGTAGAACAGGAGACTCAGGAAATACATGCTGGCAGGTAGAAACTATTGGATGTATCACAGGTCTCAATGCTAAATCAGACTGGTGAAAAATTATCCTTGAAAATTATTCAGTTGGGAAAGTTCAAAACAAGAGAAAAGTCAGACATATTCAGAACTCAGCTGCACGGTACAGCTTCACTGAACATGCTATGAAACCTGAAATACCTGAAAACAACCTCATCAGACGGATAATAGTTCAAATTTCTTCAGCAACAATTTATGTGGTCCAGAAATGAATAAAAACGTTCAGGATTCCCACCCCTAAATGTTTCTGAACAAACCTTTCTAACTGATTTCTGAAGTGAAATGTACCTTTCTTTAAGTTTGCTCTC